CATCGGTCTCTGATCTGGTTAACATTTAAAAGATGAGTAGTGTATGCTTAGCACTTGGCCCTGTGCCAGGACAGAGAAGATGCTCATGCATATGGGTTGAATGGAAGAGGCTTATGGGGCACCAGTGATGAGCCTTCTGCTAACAAGAACAAAGGAGAACACAGCTGGCTCTCTATGCATTTTGCCTGTCACACTCTTTGGTGAGGTCCTTGATACCAAGCATGTGACCAGGGGAGCTGCAACAATGGCCAGTTGGGTCTGACCCTTCACTACTTCTATGGTGGGAAGGAGGCTGGGGAAGTGGCCATGACATGAATTTGTATAGGTGACTTCAAGTAGGATAAGTATCATCCATACTTTATGAACTTGCTGAGGTCAACTTCAAATAACTTCTTCAACTTGTTGTGCTTGTTCCTCTCTCCAGCTCTGAAGGGTCTGGTGGGTATGGAAGGTTTGGGAGGAGAATGGCAAACTGTGCCACTAACTACAAGATGGGGACCAGGTGGGAGGTGTGCAGTAGTGCCTGCCTAGCTGGAGTGTTTTCTGGTTAGAGCCATGTGCATACGTAATAGGTCCGACAGAGAGCAAGCTCTTAAAATAAGTGCTGTGGGAACACTCCAAGCCCCAACCCCGGAAGGGAGTGATGTGCTCTTTGATCAGGATTTCTTCACATGTGGTTGTACTGGAGACCTGTAGGCATGGAAAACGCTTTAAAGACCTAACTATAACTTTCTCTATTCATTTGTAAAGGATAAATAGTTAGAATTTTAATTACTTTGCAACTGAAAGTTTATAGCCATTGTGGATCAATTTTTCTTACAATACATGCCAAAAAAAAAAAAAAAAAAGAAAGAGAAACAAAAAGATAAGCCAGGCATGGTGATGTACGCGCGCGCATGTGTGTGTGTGTGTGTGTGTGTGTGTGTAATCCTAGGAGGCTGAGGCAGGATGATCACAAGTTCAAGACCAGCCTCAGCAACTTAGTGAGACCCTATGTCTCAAAATTTAAACCAACCAACCAACCAAACAAACAAACAAAAAAAATGGGTGCTGGAGGGTGTGGCTCAGTGGTTAAGCATCCTGGGTTCAATCCCCAGTACCCAAAATAAAAAAAGAAAATTGATTTATGATGGAGGCACGCCACCCTCCCCTTTGCCATGGCTTCTGGCTTTTATTTTTAGAGGAGCTAATGAGAGTTTAGACATCAACTCAAGTGCAAATTAAACAACAACAACAAACAACTCTTAATCACCACAAACTGGTGCTATTGTTCACTGTGATTCTTTCCTCTGAAGATAGTCCAGGCAGCTTTGAGGGAGCAGCTGCAGCCTGCCCTCCTTCTTTCCTTCCTCTCTTCCTGCAGAAAGACAAGTAAGGAATGATGGAGTCTCAGGAATCACAACCCTGCAGGCTGTTCTTCAGCGAGACACTCTCAGGCACAGCTCTAAGTGCTACTGGAAAGACACAAACACTTCTGCAAATATTCACAGTGCATAAGGATTTGTGATACTTTGAGAAAAATAACTCTGCTTTCAAGAAGTTGAGGTTGTTTGACTATGTGTTTCACGTATTGTTTTTTCTTCTAGGTTTAAATTCTGGAGAAACACGTCTCTCTTTCCAGAGACTTGCCTTAATGTTACCAGTTTTGTAAACTGACCCTGTGGGATTTTGACATTTTCCTTTATTCAGTTTTCCACTTTGTACCTCGTGTACTTCCCACCTGCAATGCACAACTTCTTGCAAACACATCCACTTCTGTCTCTGAATGGGGGAGATTCTGCCCTTTCAGCAATGGGAATGGTATAAAACCAAGAAGTTGAATCCCAAATTTCCACAAAAGTCAGAGAGACCTTTGGATAAATATCTTATTATTCCATTTTCAAATAAAGGGTACCAAATTAGTATAGTCCAAGAAAGTACATTTTGTCAAGCACGTGGTGCATGCCTGTAATCCCAGCGACTCAGGAGGATGAGGCAGGAAGATCACAAGTTTGAGGCCAGCCTCAGCAACTAACTGAAGTCCCAAGCAACTTTGCAAGACAGACCCTGCCTCAAAATAAAAAGTAATGAAAAAAAAGGGCTGGGGACATGGCCCAGTGGTTAAGCAAGCACCCCTGGGTTCAATCTCTGGTACCAAAAAACCAAAACAAACCAAAACAAACCCCAAAACAGAAGTACATTTTGTATTTGGTCCTTTTGTAAAAGACATAGAATACAGAGCCTGCTAGAGAGACATGGGATAGCCTTAGGAGACAGTACCAGAGCCCAGTGGCAGAGTTCCATAGTGGTTAAGTTCACAAAAGTGCTATCTGAAGGCTGCAAGGATGAACTCACATCCTTGAACCCTCTCAGTTCCGTCAACTGCTTTTCTGTCCTTCCTACCATTTTTAGAGTTTAACAGGATAATGAACCACCAAATAAACAATCATTCTGAAGGTAACAACCTGGTCATTAGCAACATCAACACTCCTACTCCCAGGTACTGTTCTAGGAACCATTTGAAATATGATGCTTTGGAAATTTATAATACTGGTAGATGTTTTTCAACTTGGAAATCCCTGTTTGCAAAATTCAAAACTGTACTTCAAAATCCCTTTCCATCTAAGAAATTGCTATCTGAAAAAGCAGTTTCAATAGAAAAAAGAAAAAGCCAATAACAAGGCCCTCTTATTATACATGGAAAGAGTCTGTCGTTAAAAAGGTGGAATATACACACCTTAATTTGTCAAGAATGAGCCTCCCCAGATTAATGGTCTTTGTTTCCCCACAACATAAGTCACTGCCATGACATCTGAAATAAAATTGAAGTGGTTATTTTGTCATAGAGTTATTGTACCTGAATTTCCTTACTCTCCTTTCATTTAAATTGGGGCGGAGGGACCTTTACGATAAAGTCTCATCTGAGCCACTCTTTCAAATATGTGTTGATATGGGAGAAGGTCTCCTGGGGCATAAGTGTTCAACTATCAACCAATGACCCCTTTAGGCAACTTTTGTAAAAAAGACTGTACCTGAGAACCTAATACTACTGTTTGGAGCGGAGATAACTGAGTATATCTTTGCTCATGTTATGCTTAAGTTGCTACCCACAATCTCTTTAAGAGGATGAAGTTTGCATTTTGGCAGGCTTGGAAGAATAGGAGTATGACCCACATCACAATAGAACACTGTTCTCCATCTCTCACAGCTGGGTAGAGGAAATAGGTCATGTGACTTGGGGCTGTGAGAGATGTCCAGAAAAAGAGAAAATCTTCTTTTAAAAGTTGAACCCAGGATACCAGTCAATGTGCTCCAATTCCAAAAATGGGAAATGTAGCTCCCGACAGCTCCTCAGAGGGGGCCTGTATCTTTGAGTTCATGTGATATTGTAATCTGTGGAAGCTTTTGGTTGCTTCTGCCCAGATTCAGATGAATATGCTGTCTAGAGCTCTGAGTGGAAGCCAAAATTGAGCAGAACTAGCTTGAATTTGCATAAAAATGTAAATGTGTATTAAAATGTAAATTTGAAGTGACCTTGGGACCAGCTACCCTGTTCATTATCTTCAAAGTATCTCCACACTGTGCACCAGAGAATCTCCTAGATGCTAGTCATTGGTGAGCCAGCATGACTTGGTTATTCCCTATTACCTGCCAAAATTAATCACAGGGTTAAATTTGAATATAATTCAGAAATAGCAAGGTCTGAGTGGGAACTGGACTGAAGGTTACTATATTACTTGTGATTTTAAATAAGATTGGTGCAAGGAGGGAATGATAACACTGCTTGAAAAAAGAATTCTGTTCAAGCACCTTGGATTCATCCAACTGACTACAAGAGCCTAAGTTGATAGCTTGTTAATCTGAATTGCCTAAAGGGGTCAGGTTGGTATTACTGATATTTGAGGCACTCTGAAAGTACAGTAATGCAATACACAATTGCTAATTTTCATTTACTCCTTTAAATTAGTCCAAATGAAGAAAGTTTCAATTTTGTCATCCTAACTCACCCATCTTATCTTTATTTCAGAAGGAATTTATTTGTTTAGATGTGACTTTTCACTTGCTTTTCAACTTTCCCTCATGTTTTATTCAGACTCATTGCCTCCAAGATTGGAAGTATGCATCTCACATTTATACACTAGGAACTATAATTGGCCCTACTGAAATTGTTTATTCCTCTGCTGCAACCATGGGCCAAAATGGTATCTAGAGGTCATTCAGTGCATAGGCTGGCATCGATTTCAGATGTAGAGACCAAGGTCCAGAGAAGTAAAAGGACACATTTTTGTTTTCACTGGCTTTATCCAGAGATAGCCAGCACTTGAACTCCAGACACAATTGTGATTTACTTCAGGTGAGGACTGGAACATAGGATCTTATGATTACTGCATTTCTTACAAATGCATGTCTATTTTTTCTTTCCAAATGTCCTGGGTGATTTCAACAAAATACTTGCCACAAGCCCAGCCACCAAAACAGGCCCAAAAGGGCAAAAGATAGATTATCTGGTCAGTCCATTGACCCAGCAAATGATGGGCAGATTTAGTGCTTGGGCTCCTTTTAAATAACTGACTTATGGTTAATTATTATCTCCCCAGCTTTTATCTTTAATCTTCAGTTTTAAATTCTTGGTAGTAATTGCTCCTAAACCTATGTGTATAATGCAGACAGAAGCAAGTCCTTCTGCAGCAATAAAAAAAAAAAAAAAAAAAAAAAAGTCCTCAAGTTTTTTCACACTAAACTATGATTTTTAATTAGTGCAATAATAGTTCCTCCTTATAGGGATAATTGCATCTTTAAGCATATTTGAGGTTGGAGAGCTCTGTTGTGCAGGCATATTCTAAAAGACTGAATGTAAATATGTTTTGTTCACCATTCATTTGTGACTTCAATCACTATTATAACTGCATCTTCTGCAATAAAAATGCTAAATTATACATTATATATCTTTCCAAGCACATTAGACCAATTTTTAAACAGCCTAGTAAGAATGAGCATGTCACAAACTTAAAGCCAAAGTGTAGATATTATCACTTCATTTAATATTGAGAGCAATTTAATTTAAATTCTGGAAAAGCAAATACCTTTAATAAAGTTGGTGTGAATGATTATATAGTTTGATATAACTATTGTACAGGAGTGTGTACACATATAAATCTATAGATAGAATTATGTACATTTCAATATATACCACATATATATTTTAATTTTGCCACTCATATTTTTCTCTTTAGTAAAACAAAGCGATTTTACTGTACAAGGATGTGCAATGCTACATTAAGTCCTGAGTAATTAAAGGGGTTAGTAATAAAGTACTCTAAATTCTAGTCTTCAGCTAAAGATCCAGTAGATACTGTAACAGAAATGTGAACAAAATAATATTTAAAAATATGCATCCAGTTTTGCACTTATTTTGTGCTTAGCAGAAAAAGCTTGAGAATGCACAGCAGCCATTGAGATTTGGGATAATGTCCTCAAACATTCAAGGTTAAACAGTGTCCTGTTTGTAGGGATTTACAGAAATTTTAAGTGATGTCACCTACATCCAATTTGTCAAGCATGGAAGATTCTAGTTATGATTGGACCAAAAATTCCCTTTACAGAATATGAAATTCTATGTAAACATCAGTGTTTAGGTATTGTATAAAATTTCTGATCCAAATGAGGAAAAAGAAAAGGAATAAAAATACAGTAAAATAATTTAAAATGCTTTTCTTGGGATATAGTCAGTCACACAGAAGTGATATAAAAAAAAAACAGAGTATATTTTGGTGATGGAGGAAACCAGAGGAAAGTCATTTAGGAGTGGTCTGGCAAGCCACCCACTCTGGAAGGTCCCAGGTTGGCTTGGCTCAGGGAGCTCAAGATAAAGAAGCCACATTCATCCTGCCACGGGGGACGGATGCTGCTGTGCAATGAGGAGGAAGCACTATGGGAAAAGGCCACATTCAACTGCAGTGGAACAGTAACAGCTGCCTGTCAGGGTCACCATCAGCAGGCAAAGCGTCCCATTCCCAAACTGAGGCACTAGGTATGATGACGTGAGGCGTTCGGGTTGGCTGCTGCACATCTGCCTTGGGCGGAGGGAGGCAGCCGGGATCCAGCCTTGCATCAGAGCGGGCTTCAACGAGAAGGCACTGTATTGGTGGTTCCTTTGTCATCCCGGCTCTACCCGGTCCCATGGCTGCTGTAGTCAAAGACTCCTTTCTTGAAGAATGGTGAGAACTCACAAATGGTGTGTTTTGAAAGGGTCAGTCCCACTTTGTTGATGTGTAGGGGTGATGTTGCAGATTGGAGCATCACGCTGAAAAAGTCCCTGAGGTATTTCTGAGGAAGAGACAAGAGTTAAGAACATGGTCAAGATACCTCTGGGTAGAGTCAAGGAGAGGAGAAGCAATGTCCAAAAACAACTTCATGTCTACCTGGATGCATATGTTTATTTCATAAATCAGACCTAGGGGTGGGGGTAGGGGGACTCCGAGGAACACCAGCATCCAAGGAAGATCCTTGAAGCCCTCAGCATCAGACCAAGAGAAAACAGATTGTGATATCCATAAACACAATAAAACATTTCTTTGGTTCAAGGCTCTGATTCATAGCAATGCCACCAGGTCTATCTGTAGACAACACTCAGAGGAATGCAACAGTGCCTGGCCCTGGGGATCTGCTGTGCAGCAACAGTGTCATTAGTTAGTATCCTATTTCTAACCCCCTCACCCCAGTTGCTCATGAAATAGACAATTAAAAGGAAGAAAAAAAAAAAAAAGAAAGAAAAAGAAATGGCTGCCCGTCTGTGCAGTTAAATGTCTGGCTTATTGGCATTTTAAAATTGCACAATCTGTATCTGCTTTGAAGCCTTCTTATAATGTAAAGGGGAAAAAACAGGAGGATCAGCTCCAAGCATTGATATTTACAGATCACTTTGTAAATCCAATAATCATCAAGAAAAGGAAATTCTTTCTAAGGTGAACAGCTCAAGACCTCTTGTTCTTGCCCTCCCCTACTGTAGGTGATTGTCACATTATCTGCCTTTCTTGGCACCAAGAAAGCAAAGCAAAGCATTTAGTAGGCTCTAAAATGCTTAGGGTAAAATCAGACATGGGTGCTGAAGGGATGAGACTAGTTAATGTATTTTAGATCTGGCAAATCTCATCTATAACAGAACATGGGTGGAGAGAAGGGTTTAGACCTAAACCTTATTACTCAGTTTGTTTAGAAAATAAACTTAGAAATTAACCATAATTCTGGACTGTAACAAAAATTTTGTTATCTAAGAAATATGACCTAATCCTTGAGCAGTCATTTCCAACTAGGGGCAATTCTGCCTCACAGGGGACATTAGACAATATTGGGAGACATTTCTGATGGTCATACTTGTGTGTTGCATGATACATCTAGTGGGTGAAGGTCAGGAATGCTGCTAACAACCTACAACCCATAGGACAGTCCCTAGAACAAATAATTATCTGGCCCCAAATGTCAACAGTACCACAGCTGAGAAAACTTACCCTAGAGAAAGTAGAATTCAGCTATATCTATGGATTGCCCACCTGAAATCAAAGAATTTCTGAAGGAAATCACTCAGCTGAAGGAAAGTTTATTAGCTCTTTCTTAAAAATAATACAAGAATTACAAGTAACATTTGTATAACTTAGGTTTCTACAGATCTTCTAGTGTCTAATTTTTTATACTTTATAGAAGTAAAACTGATATACAATACACTGCATTCTTTTTTTTTTTTTTTGAGGTGCTAGGGGTGGAACCCAAGGCTCATGCATGCTAGGTAAATGCTCCGAGCTATGTCCCCAGACTTGAAACTGCATATTCTTTAAATATGTAATTTGATGAGTATTGTTACAAGTAAAAAAAAAAAAAAAAAAACACAAACCAAGAAAATGAACATTTGCATCACCCCCAGAAGTTTCCCAAGTCACTTTATTTTATGTGGTCATCATACACTGCCTAGAATTACATGTCCTTCTTATAACAGCTATTTTCTAGACAGGAGGCTGTAGCTAGGAGACATGAGAAAGGCTAGTAATCAAGAAGAGACCTGGAAGCAAGTGCTCTTCACTCAGACCTGGTTTACTGGCTCATTATTCCTAACATACTATTCTCAAAGTACCCTTTCTTGAAGGATCCTGAAACTGACACAAGGTAGAGGTGAGAAGTGCCAAAACCAACTGCTGAAGAATGAACATCTATCTTAACCTTGGTAGTTAAGAGAGACAAAAAGGAAATTTGACTTCAACTTTCCTAGGAGAGGTGAAGCCAGATTTAAAATTAGGTAGTCAGTGTAGTTAGGTAAATCGGGTCTAATATCGAGTAAGATCTAAAATGGGGGCCATGTTGAGAATGAATTCCGGGAAACTGCAGGACAACTCATGGAATGTTAATGAAGTCCCGAGAAAAGCCCTAGGCCCAAAATCCATCTCAAAGAAATGTTAATGAACAGCCCCAGCAGATTTGAAGATAGCCCATCCCAAAGAAGTGTTAATGAAGTCCTTCCTGCCCAGATTACTTCTTTGGCCCACCTGTGTCACAACCCTCGGGCCTTCCAACCTACATTCCATCACTGAAAGAACTATAAAAAGGGGAAACAACCGCACTTCCACGGATTCCACCTCTTGGGTCCCCTTCTTCCTCCGGGAGAAGTCTTTTCTGCTGTCCTTTAATAAACTTCTAATTTCTACTCTGACCTTGCCTCGGCATGCTCTCTGGTGTTATTCTTCAACACTGGGGAAGCAAGGACTCGTCACCGGTCAACAGCGGTAACAGAGGGACCCTGAGAATATCCACTTGTAGGGGACTCTGACTTCCATCAAACATGGTTAACAGCAAATACTGTAGACTATACTTGAGCAACCAAAGCTTGTTGAAATCTATGTGGATACTTGATTGTTTTTGGCAAATCAAGAGTGAAATGCTACAGAATAGGATGAGGAGTTCCTCACTTGTGCAAGGAGCTGTGACTCTTCCACAATTTAATGAGGGATGGAGAGAGACTTCTTCCTGCATAGGCATTGTCTCTGTAGCTCTTGGGTGGCTCCTGCTTCAGATACCCCAGGCTTTTGCATTAACATGCAAACTAATGTTTACCACAAACTTGCCTTGGAGATGAACTCTGTCAGACAAGGAGGCAATTTAAATCTGGGAACAGATGTTGTATCAACATTTGTCATAATTAGTTCACAAAGTAGAGTCCCTTTAAAGGGCCAATAAAACCTGAAGGGTATAATGAGAAGTAAAAGTTAAAAATATAAATAAAAGTAAAAGAGAAGTATGGGAGACACCTTACCAAACACAGCCTGGCCATTAAAAGAGTACTATAAATCAACTGCAGGTAATGCCTTTCTCTTTAAATAAACTCATTAGCATGGCTTGATGAAAACTCCAGCTAGAAAGATCTGATTTGACCACTTCCAAACATTACAAAAGAGTTTTTCTCTGCAAAACAAATCTCTTGCTAGCAAGAGTTTCAGGCAGCTTGGTTTCCTTTATGTGAGCTGCTTCCCAGGTGCAGAGAAAGCATTTGTCTAAAAAATAATCTCTGCAGTGACTCCATTTTGCTCCCAGGTCTGGAGGACCAGGCATGACCTTTGCTAGCTGTGTCCAGAGACAGCCACATGCTGGAGTGGGCTGAGCACATTCTGGTGAACCACTGAACCAAGGGACAGAAGATGGTGCTAAAATTTCAGAAGGTTCCTGAGGTCACAGACAGTGTCTCATTCTTTGCAGTCTCTGATCATCCATGGCACACTGCCAAGCTTAGGAAAAATGCTAAGAAACCTTGATGATTGATTTCGATGAGTTAATTTTTTTTTAAGTTGAAATACATAGATGGAAAACAGCTCACATCATGAGTGTAAGGCCTAATGATTTTTCACAAAATGAACATACCTATGTGATCGGCATCTAGGTATAAGTAAAAACGATCTCTCCAGCCCCAAGGCAGCCCTCCTCATACTCTTCTTCCATTTACAGTCCTCTCTCCAGGATGACCACTATCCCAATTTCTAGCAGCACAGGCTAGTTCTGCCAGTTTTTGAACATTACATTAATAGAATATACAAGATATACTTTCCCCCCTGCATTAATTTATTTTTTAATTGGTACAATATTGTTATACATGAAAGTGGGATTCATTGTATATAGTCACACATGCACATAGCATAGTTTGGTCACTTTCATTCTGCAGATCTTCCTCTTTCCCATTCCCTTCTCCTCTTTCCCTCCTCCTTCTCCCTTGATCCCTTTACCTCACTGTTCTCCCTTCTATTTTCATGAGATCCTCCTTTTTAAAAAATTCTTTATTTCTCTCTAGCTTCTGCATATGAGAGAAAACATTTGACACATACAGTATATGATGAATGCCACATTTGTGAGATTAGTCCACACAACTTGTGTGTGTGTAGTGGGGCTTGTTCAGAAACCTTGCTTGGAGAGTGTTCCATATGTGGATGTACCAACTGATCAGCTTTAATAGAGGGACATACAACAGTGACAGTTTGGTCTTTCTGTCTGACCTCTGCTTCAATAATGAAACCCACTTTCACCTATTACTGGTGTCTGGTGAGTCACATTTATCACTATCCTAATATCCTCATTTCTCATTAGGGTTTGAGGCTCAATTTAAGGTGGGCCAGTGTTCTAAATCCTGGCTATTGTATATATTTAAATATAGTAAAATTATATAAAAAATGCTAACACATATTTAATTAGTGATTTTTTTATTGATTGTTCTAAGTTTTCCATAGCTATAGCTAAAGTAAGAAACGAAAAGTTCTCTTGTCAATTCTACCCCTTTTTTGTGGATCCTAAGAATTCTAGCTCTCCCTAGTAAGTGAGAATTATGTCTAGGAACTGAGCTGCATCCCTAGGGTAGCATACTTTATAAAAGAGAACCACAAAAATTGAAGGACATTAGGAGTTCAATTGACTTATTAGGAGTCAAGTGACTTATCAGGGCCAGAAATGGCAAGGTAGGAAAAGGGTTTGTAAAATCCATTCCCCAATTACTGTATCTCACTTTTTTTTTTCAGTTGAACACAATACCTTTATTTTATTTATTTTTATTTTTATGTGGTGCTGAGGATCAAACCCAGTGCCTCACATGCACTAGGCGAGTGTTCTATGGCTGAGCCACTACCCCAGTCCTGTATCTCACTTTTGTTGGGTCCACAGCCTTCCCTTCCCCCTCCCCTTTTCATGGTGGCTGTGGGCGGGGACTTTCCACCTGGCTGAGGACACTGGAAATGGCCACTCAGAAGCTCACATGGGCAACACTGTGGTTTAGGGGGCTGAAGCAATCGCCCTGTTAACTCACA